GTAAGCTCCTATAAAAAGTCCTTTCAGTGGGCTATTGAAAGTAATAGAAAGTAAAAACATGATAAAAATTTACATTTATTCTGCAGCTTTTACTTGGAAATCCCAAAACGTTTCATGAAATAATAGTAGAAAGTAACATATCACATTTACAGATGGCAAAATATATGGAGGAATTAACTGTGTTTACTATAAGGACAAATTAACTCAAGGGTAATGAAACCAGATGATGAAGTATACGTTTATCAGCAGTCAGTTTTATCTTGTTGTTTTTCTGTGGGGGTTGGGGACTGGGTAGGAAACAGAACAAATGGCTGAAAAGAAATCAAAGAAAAAACTTGAGGAAGAAGAGGAAGATGCGGTGAATACAGAAAACTTTCAGGAGTTCATCAGAAAAGCAAGGTAGAAGACATTCTTGATTAATAAATACCATCTTATTCCATCTTTCATACTGCTCTCATTGAATTCCCAATATTCCCTTGTTCCTGACGCATGGACATGAACGAAGTGACTCTCAGAAAGAAAAAAAATTTCATAGGCTTGGGCCTTTCCAGATTTCAGCCAATTATGTTGCAATTGTCATGGCTTCAGTTATCAAAACACTGCTGCTGGGTATCTGGGCTGTATCTTGAAACAGGCTTCAAAGTAGACACCGCTTGAAGTGCTGAGAGAGCTTTTTGGGAAATTGAGGTTAGAGGCGTCTAGTGTTTACTGGTTCTGAGTTTATCCCTGACCTATTGATGTAGTGGCAATGACCAAATTTTGCCTGCATTGAGTGGGTTGAGGAATTGGCAATTTCTCAGCACTGTGAGGGTTACGCCTAATTTATATAAAATAGAACAAGTCTTTTATGCTTAGGGTTAGTCTTTATGGATTGAAAATGTCAGCATTCAGCTGTCTTGATACACATCAGCCAGGCCATTTTGTCCATTTACACTGTGTTTCCAAAAGAAAAGGTAATAAAGATGTTTAGTTTTAAATTTTGTAAGATTCACACTGGGCGATCTTTTTCTAAAACAGAGAGTTTACAAAACCACTAAAATGAAGGATAAAACATCTGTATTACCTTATTAATTAGACTTCAACCATCAAAGTCACAGTAGGGGAAAAGCAGTAGAAAATAAACTCTGTTGATTTGTGAAGTTAATTCCAGGTGGTGTGGTTTATCAGTCACCAGCATAGTATGATCTTTGTTCAATACCTTTTACAGACCTAATTGTAGCCTCAGTATCACATGCTTAAACACATAGCAAATACATCATTTTGTAGGAGTCCGTAATTGTGTAATGTTATTTTGTTGACATTCTTTGGCCTTGAGTAATATGATTGATAAACCAAGTATAGAAACAAAGCATGAAACCATTTCCCACATCAACATTGTAAAATTAGAAAAGGAAAAAGACTAGATTTATGTTTAGAAACTGGTTCTCCCTTTAAAGCTAAAAAATTAATTTCTGATTCCTCCTAGGGGTCTTCAAAATCTTTAAAATATAAAAAATGAAAATGAAAACCTTTTAAAAAATGATGTGCATTCCCCTGTTCAGGTCTAGCTGGATACTAAAAATGAATTGTATGTGTTATTAACTGAGGATATTGATTTGGAGATAAAATATGTTGGAACATAGTTACTCCTGATTATGGATTAAATGTTGATGTTTGGGAAATATTAGATAGCACCAGTTCTTTTATTAAGTTTAGAGTGGACACATCAATACCTTTGTCAGGGTTGGTAAATCCAACCACCTGCAGACGTCAGGAAAGTAACAACTTATGGAGTGGGGAGAGGATAAGACAGTAAGTAAAGCAGCTTGTATTTTGACCAACCTTAACCTTTACCTTTTAATATCCTGTGAAGGGCCAAATAAAACACGTAGCCAGGCAGAGGCAATCGCCAGCTTGCAACTTCAGCTTTAGATCTTTGAAGGTTACCTAAGGTACGCCCATTGTGGCACTTAGCTACCTTGGACATCTTTGGTTTACTCTGAGACTCATAGAAGCAATTTCGTAGGGTTTCATTAGAATGCCTTCTGAAGATGGGATCCAGGTTTAGCGTTCTTTTTATAACATGGGGATGCTTCATATATTTGAAGGGCACCTATCTAGAATATAGCCAGGTTCCAGGAAAAAAATGAAAAAGATCATTGAGAACCTACAGTAGATGTTACAAAACCCATGCATAAAATGTTTACTGGAAGAATACCATAGGCCCTCATCTATTTTCTTATACTTTACATTTTGTGAATGTTCATAAACAGCATATAATTTTAATAATTTGAAGTAACCTTAGAGACCATCTAGTTCAGTGTCTTTCATTGTACAGATAGTTAGGGAATGACTCCAGGATTCCACAGGTGGGTCTCCTTATTTCTAACATAGGTAGTTAAAATGAAATGTGCCGTAATCTTTAGTGAATATACTTCAGTGATCTAGAATAGGAGTGGGCAAACTGCAAAGGGCCAGATAATAAATATTTCAGGCTTTGCAGGCTACGTATGACCTTTGTCAGATATTCCTCTTTCAAAATATAAAAACCATTCTTAGCTAGGAGCCATACAAAAGTAGACTACAGGTCAAGTTTGGCCCACAGTCTGTAGTTGGCTGACTCCTAATCTAAAACATGGCTGTCCTATCAATAAAACTCTTTGTGGTGTGGCTACTGAGCTCTTGAAATGTGGCTAGTGTAACTGAGGAACAGAATCTTTAATTTTAATTTTAATTTAAATAGTCACATATTAATACCCATTTAAAAAAAAAGAAAAAAAACGAAACCCATGGCCACTGAGTCAGTTCCAACTAATAGCCACCCTACAGGAGAGAGTAGAACTGTCCCATAGGGTTTCCAAGGAGCGGCTGGTGGATTTGAACTGCCGACATTTTGGTTAGCAGCCAAACGCCTACCCACTGCACCCCACAAAGCATTATCATGTTTTAAACCTTTTCGACTTCTTTCATTTATATTCCAGTTTAACCATACATTAATATGGAGTTTTCAGCTTGTGCCTTTCATTTTCCCCTTCTCCAGCTAACTCTGTTTCCATAACAAAATCTTTGTGGAAAGATATTTTACAGAACAGCTTCCTGTTCTGACCATACTTTTTCTCCTCATTTCAGTGAGGCTGAACTGGAAGAAGTGTTGACTTTTTATACCCAGAAAAACAAGTCTGCAAGTGTCTTCCTGGGGACTCACTCCAAAAGTTCTAAGAACAGCAGCAGTTATTCTGATAGTGGGGCAAAAGGTGGTAAGTATGCTAGTTAATGAAAAATAAGAAGAACAAGTACAAAAATGAGATCTGCAAAGAGAAGCCAAGAATAATGTGTTGCCCAAGTACACTAGACTTCAAGGTAGTGATTTTGCAGCACTTGGAGGGGGACGGATTACATTTTTGTCCTAAAAGCAGAAGAGGCATGGTCTAATTTTATTTTCATAATGATTAATAGCAGAGAACTTTTCAAGAAAAGCTAATAATAGTAGCTAACGTTGAGTGAGCACTTAATCTTACTATCTGCTGGACGGGATCTTATTTTTTACTTCTAAAAACCATGTAGAGTAGACATTATTATGAGACTCCTTTACAGATGAGAACCCAGAAGCTGAGAGACTGAGTAACTTACCCAAAGTTACCCTTTCCCATGCATTTGGACAAGAATTGGTATGCTAGTGTGACTGACTCAGAGCCCGTACTCTTAATCTCTGCCCCCTGCCTCTGCTAAAGATTATTTCTCACTCTTGTCAAGTTTGTTGCCTCCTGTAACTCAGCACCACTGGCATTTTAGGTAGTACAATTCTTTGTTGTGTGGGCCTGTTCCATACATTGGATACCTAACATCCTTGGTCCCAAGCCCTAAATGGCATTAGCTTTCTTTAGTCATTATGAACTCAGAATGCTCCCACACATTTCCAAAAGTTCTCACTGCTGGGGAACTCCATGATGGGGGATTTTGGAATTGAATATGGACCAGACTGTCTAACTCATGCTGTCATGATCAAAAAATAGCAGTGACATTCTGTTATAAGCAAAGCTCTGTGCTCTGTAAGAGTCACTTAAAACCTAGATGGAAGTATAAGACATATGTAATCAGACTACTAATTTTGTCAGTGTGCTAACACCAGATTCAGAGATGGAAACTTCTTCCCTGCCCTTAAGGCTATCATAGCCTAATGTGGAAATAGCCAGGAAAATTGATCTTTTTTAAAATTTGGAGTAGATTATGTAAATGTTTGAAAAACTGATTAGGTTCACAGGCTAGTCCACAAAAGCTTATTTAATGTACTGTATAATTGAATTATTGTATTACTAGAAGTCCTTCTGAATTCAGCCCTCTTCTTTGTGCTTTCCTAACTTTTCTAAGTTCTGAAGCTAGTTCATTCATCTGTTTATTCATTCACTCCTTCTACACACTTTTTCTGATCACCTGCTATGTATCAGGCACTGTGATAGTTGCTAGGAATACAATGACCAGGACTGTCATAGTCCTTGACTTCATAGAATTTATTGTCTAGTGGGTGAAGCTGGGTGAGCCAATATAGGAAAAAGGTTGGTGGAAGCTCTGAAAAGCTCCTATAACAGTGTTGGGAAGTGAGACTGAGGCATAGTTGTACTGAGGTTAGGGCAAAGAAGAGGTTCTAACCTGGGGAAGCGGGGGCTTAGATGGGAATGAAAATAGAAACTTCTCCCCCTGGAAGTAATGAGGAAACCCTAACAGCATGGAGTGGCAACACTTATTTGTAAAGATGAGTCGTTTGAAATTCTGGGGCTCATGATCAAAGACTCTTTTTACATAAGAAGATCTGTACCTCTTTAGAGCTATCAAAAATAGCTAGAGGGGTAGTAGAAAGGCCTCAGTCAAGGAAGCAACACTATGACATTTGATAGTCTGGACTCATTTCAAACATGAGCAAATAAGTTGTTACAACTGCTGGTGGTGATGGAGAGAAGAGAATTCATATGTCCTTATTCCTTCACTCTGATCACTGTAAAATGGTATTTTGCAAGGTTTTGTATGAACCTAACACTTGAGAGAGACTTGAGAATATTTCCCTAAGTATATGATTAACTCTGGCTATTCTGTTTCAGTATTCTGCAGTAAAGAAAAAAACTGTAATTTAATGGAGTAGAAATACAGGCATACCTCGGAGCTATTGCAGGTTCGGTTCCAGACCACTGCAGTAAAGCATGTCGCAATATTTTTGGTTTCTCAGTGCATATAAAAGTTATGTTTAGACTATACTGTAGTCTGTTAAGTGTGCAGTAGCATTATGTCTAAAAAAAAACAATGTACATACCTTAATTAAAAAATATTGCTAAAAAATGCTAACCATCATCTGAGCCTTCAGCGAGTCATAATCTTTTTGCTGGTAGAGGGTCTTGCCTCCATGTTGATGGCTGCTGACTGATCAGGGTGGTGGTTGCTGAAGATTGGGGTAGCTGTGACAATTTCTTAAAATAAGACAATGAAGTTTAACCCCATTGATTGACTTCTCCTTTCATGAAAAATTTCTCTATACCATGCCATGCTGTTTGATAGCATTTTACCCACAGTAGAACTTCTTTCAGAATTGGAGTCAATCCTCTCAAACCCTGCCACTGCTTTATCAACTAAGTTTATGTAATATTCTAAACTTTTTGTTGTCATTTCAACAATGTTCACAGCATCTTCACTAGGACTAGATTCCACATTAAGAAACCACTTTCTTTGCTAATCCATAATAAGAAACTCCTCATCCATTAATGTTTTATCATGAGATTGCAGCAATTCAGTCACATCTTCAGGCTCCATTTCCAATTCTAGTTCTGTTGCTGTTTCTACCACATCTGCAGTTACTTCCACTGAAGTCTTGAAGCCCTCAAAGTCATCCATGAGGGTTGGAATCAACTTCTTCCAAACTCCTGTTAATGTTGGTATTTTGACCTCCTCCTGTGAATCACGAATGCTCTTAATGGCATCAAGAATGGTGAATCCTTTCCAGAAGGTTTTCAGTTTACTTTTCCCAGATCCATCACAGGAATCACTGTGGCAGCTATAGCCTCACAAAATATATTTCTTAAATAATAAGACATGAGAGTCAGAATTACTCCTTGATCCATGGGCTGCAGAATGGATGTTGTGTTAGCAGGCATAAAAACAATATTAATCTCCTTGTACATCTCCATCAGAGCTCTTGGGTGACTGGGTGCATTGTCAATGAGCAGTAATATTTTAAAAGGAATATTTTTTTCTGAGCAGTAGGTCTCAACAGTGGGCTTAAAATACTCAGTAAACCACGTTGTAAACAGATGTGCTGTCATCCAGGCTTTCTTGTTCCATTTATAGAGCACAGGCAGAGTAGATTTAGCATAATTCTTAAGGGCCCTAGGATTTTCAGAATGGTAAATGAACATTGGCTTCAACTTAAAGCCAGCAGCTGCATTAGCTGCTAACAAGAGAGTCAGCCTATCCTTTAAGCTTCGAAGCCAGGCATTGACTTCTCTATAGTCCTAGATGGCATCTTCTTCCAGTATAAGGCTGTTTCATCTACACTGAAAATCGGTTATTTAGTGTAGCCACCTCCATCAGTTACCTTAGCTAGGTCTTCTGGATAACTTGCTGCAGCTTCTACATTGCACTTGCTGCTTCACCTTGCACTTTTATGTTATGGAGATAGCTTTTTTCCTTAAACCTCATGAACCAGCCTTTGCTAGCTTCAAACTTTTCTTCTGCAGCTTCCTCACCTCTCTCAACCTTCATAGAATTGAAGAGAGTTAGGGCCTTGGGCTGGATTAGGCTTTGGCTTAAGGAAATATTGTGACTGGTTTTATCTTCTATCTAGACCGCTAAAATTTTTCTCCATATCAGTAATAAGGCTGTTTCGCTTTCTTATCATTCGTGTGTTCACTGGAGTAGCACCTTTAATTTCCTTCAAAAACTTTTCCTTTGCATTCACAACTTGACTACCTGTTTGGTGCAAGAGACCTAACTTTCAGCCTGTCTCGATCTTCAACATGCCTTCCTCGCTAAGCTTAATCATTTCTAGCTTTTGATTTAAAGTGAGAGACGTGTGACTCTTCCTTTCACTTGAACACTTAGAGGCCATTGTAGGATTATTAACTGGCCTAATTTCAATATTGTTGTGTCTCAGGGAATAGGGAGGCCCGAGGAGAGGGAGAGAGACAGGGGAACGGCCTATTGGTGAAGCAGTCAGAACACACGCAACATTTATCAATTAAGTTCACCATCTTATATGGTCACAGTTCGTGGCACCCCAAAACAATTACAGTACTAACATCAAAGATCAAAACGTGACATAGAGACACAAAGTGAGCACATGCTGTTGGAAAAATGGCACTGATAGACTTGCTTGATGCAGGATTGTGACAAACCTTCAATTTGTAAAAAATGCAATATCTGCAAACTGCAATAAAGTGAAGCGCAATAAAACAAGGTATGCCTGTAGTAGGAATTCTACTTGTGATTTTGTTATTGAATATACTGATCAACTGATCTCAAGTAAACCCACTTAACCTACCTCAAGTATAACAGAGGAGTTTACTGTAAAGATACAAAGCTGTTGTAGCATCCAGGTATCATGCCAGCAAGTATTGTGGCTGCTCTTCCTCTCTCTTGTGAGCTGCCCTGCTCCATACATACTGTGACTTTTTGGCTCCAGTGCATACCACCAGTCAGCATAGTCTCTTAGTTCCCCTAGTCTGAATTCCTGGCACAGACATCTGACCACCCTCACTTATTTTCCTTTCTAGGCATGTCCTAGTTTGTTGGCAGTCCATGGATGGCTGCCCTGGGGTTAAATACCTTTCCCTGGTTCAGTTAGCTGGAACTGGGGCTGGGGATCATTGAGAATCATTTGGTTTAGTTGTCTACTCAACAAGGCTGTGGATGTGGCCATCCTTGGAAAAGTGTGCTGAGATGTGCAGTTGTTCCCAGCACTGGTTAGTAGTTGTATTATATTTTGGAAACATAATTATGTATAAAGCAATACCCTTGTCATTGCTTAGTAGAAGAGCCTAAGCTTAGTGTTTCTTATTTCAGATCACCCTGAGACGCTGGAAGAAGTGAAAACAAAGCAGCCCAAACAGCAACGTGCAACAGAAATTCACTCTGATAAATTATCTCGTGAGTGATTTCAAACCTACATAGATTTGCTGCTGTCTGATAAATCCCGAAAATTTACCAAAAAAAAAAAACAAAAAAAGCAAGTCATCTGATGTTAGATGATTCTAAACCATGGGACATTACCCCAAAGAAGTTTGCTTTCTTTGTTATTTCTTTTCTCTCAGAATTTCCTCTCTTCTATTGATAACCTATTTTCCTTCCAAAGAAGTCTTCATTTTCTTCCTGTTTAGAAATGCTGAGCACTTTCTTTTTTCATAGAAAAGTGAAAAGAAGAGGGAGAGGAGTTGGCTGTTACTGCCAAAAACAATGTCCTGATACCCTAACATTTGTAAAACATGACCGTTCTGTTTTG